CACGGGTCATCTCTATATAGGCCCCGAACCCACGGCGGGAGTGCTGCCGTGCTCCCAGCACTGCACCCTCCCGAGTACATCATGGGCTCGGCCCTACACTCTTTTTTTTTAAAAAAAGTAATGAAGGTCTAGTGGATTGTAGACTCTCAGGATTCATGGCAAGAGCATCTCAGGCCTTATCTCTCTGCCTTGGGGGACCAGAATATGAACAATCCAGAGACCAGGAGGTTTGGGAAGCATTCTGACCCAGCCCACTGGCAGAGTCAAGCCAAGGCTTTACCCAGTTTCAGGACCCTAGAAATGTGTTATGGTTCTTCCTTAAAACATTCCTTCAGTCTCCCTAAGATATTTTTAAAATGTTATTGAAACCAATCCCCAGAGGAGTCATCATTAACAATATATAGTAATATTACTAACTCCTGGTTTAATTTCATTACATATAATAATTCACAGAAGGAAGAATTGTCTGTCCTTGCATCAGGGACATGTCCTTCTGTAGGTGGGATACCTCAGTTTGTGCGTCTATATGTTTAGTCAGTGGACAGAAGGAGGCCAATGTGGATTGGGATGTTCGACTGCTCTGTTAGCAATACACAATGAGTCTAAAGCTGATCAATGGAATATTCATTGTACTAGTCCCCACCCACTACATCAAGGGGTCAAGTGTGTTTTGCTTGGTGAATTATGGAATTCTAGATTAGCTTCCTTTGGCAGATCTCTTCAACCACATATATTATAGACACTAATGAAGGAATGATAAGAAACCTAGCAGCTGCACTATGAATTTTTGCAGATTCCATAGTAAAATCTATTGCTGAGCAACAGCACGTTAACATCTCTAGCCAGGGTAGCCTTAGATAATAGAATTGTTCTTGATTATTAACTCAGGAAGATATTGCCTATGTTATTGCTAACACTACATGTTGTGCCTTAGTAAACTCTGGGGCAATTGAGATTCAGTTGCATAAAATAAGAGAACAAGCCACAAGGCTACTGTAAGCCTCACCTAGTTCTCCACTACCATTGGATTTATTTAATCGAATGCCTTTAAGTCTAGTTAATGGCTTAAAACCATTACACATCTTGGGATGGTCATGTTTCTGGTATTTTTACTTTGCATTTCTTTTTAAAACTGTGTACTCATTATCTATTAAGTCTGTATAGAAATGCTGTTCCTGACAAAATAATGTTTGCCCAGTGCTGTGAGATAACAAATGCCTAAAAATTAGATAAATCAAACTTAAGGATAAAACTCAGACAACCCAGGCCAAAAGGAACTGTTTAAGTCCTCTTCATTTCTCACATGTAATTAGAAGGCTCCTGACACTGACTTAACAACAGTTCATTACCCCCAACTTGAGACCAGATCCACTGACTGGAACATGTTCATCCCAGAAACAAGGGACACATAAAATCTGACATTAGACTTATTTATCAGTGATGATTTCAAATAAAAGCTCTTGATGAAGGGGGAAAATGTAAGAGTTGATGAAATTAATTTCTGTAAGAGACAGAAAAATTAGAGCCAAAAAATGCACAAGAGGTGGGGGCTCATGCTTGCTTGTCTGAGGTAAGAATTTTTCCAAGGACCTTCTAAA